AGCCTTTTCCTTTCCTTGACTTTTCTGAATTCTGAGCAGGGAAATAGAAATTGTAATTTGGTCTTGTTTGAATAAGCGAAATTCTGCCTAAGGATACATGAAACAAAAAGATCAAACAATTTGATCTTTTTACAATTCCATCTTGTAACGACATCTTGCCTTTCTATACACTGATTACATATTAGATACAAAATAATTTAACAATTTACAACAAATTATTTATTTTCTAAAACTGCTCAAAATCCACATCCATTTGAATATTTTACAGGGGGGGAACAAACTATACTCTAAGCATCATTATGAATAAAATTGAGCTAATGCATGTGTTTAGATAAATGAACAGTTTGTTTTACTGAAATCAATTTTGCCCTTTCTGGGTATGTATTGGGATTACTATGTTCTTTCTAAGAATGGTCTTTCCCTGCAAAAACAAAAAGACTGAAAGGGAGGGAGAGAATTTGAACAGGCTGAATCCCATTTCCCTCTGGCTACTATCTGTAGAGAGGTGACACATTTAACACATTTGGAAATCTTTGCCCTCTTTCTAGCTGCTGCTGCTGCTATTGTCCCTTTGCTTTCAAGGAGGACCAATGACAACACAAGGGTGGCATCTTGACTTTTGTGTTAACTGAATTTAAGTGAGGCAGAGCTGGGCAAAGACACAAAGTCATTAACCTCTCTCCTCCAGAGTCACAGAAGTCCAGCGGTAAGACGACTGGTGAGGATGCAGTGGGTGACCTTGGCCTTTCTAAATTAAGGTCTTTCCCAGGCCTCAGTTTGTCTGAGGCCACACGCATTTCATGACTAAGAGCTAGGTAAGAACTGAGACAAAAGACGTTCTAATTTACCATCACAAAAATATCAATCTGGGAAGGGAAGACCTTCAAAATTGGAACCTTCCTAATGACATGCTCTATCATGGGAGGCGTCTTTGAGTATGAAGCCAGAACATGACCGAGGAAGACCTAATATAATTCTCAAGTTAAAGGCTATTTCAAAATAACTTTTTTTGGGGTGAAGTTTCTATGATTTAATTCATATAGTGAGCTGCCAGTGAAGAAATTGTCTATTATGCCATGCACTAACACAACCTCAAAGCAATAGAGCAACCAGAAAATATTTTACTACCATATCCACAGCCCCATTTCCCTTTAGAATATATAGTTTGACAGTTAAACTTAATGTGAGATGAGACAGCTTCTGAAATCTCAATGACCAGGAACCAATCTTGCAGCAGGATGGAAACCCAAGAAAAAAATGAATAAAAGCTGAAAAGGAAAAGAATAACCTCCATGACTTCAGATGTAATAGCATAATAATAGCTAGCCTTTACACAGCACCTACTGTGTACAGGCACTCTGCTAGGTGCTTTACAAATATTATCTCATTCAATCCTTACAACAACCCTGGCAGGTAGGTAGCCACTAGCATTATCCACATTTTACAGTCAGTCACAGGGCCACACTTGAGGACCTACAGGGTCATGTGGCCTTGAGGCCGCAGATTCCCCCCTCCTGCTCTAAATATAGATTACTATGAGCTCTGGGTCAGAGCAGCAATCTATGTGGGCTGTTAATCAATGTCAAAACACTGGGTTTGGGGGAAGAAATCTACAACTTACCCTGTGTCGTTCTCGATTTAAGATAAGTCCCCCTCAAAAAAAATAACACTTATCAGATTTGAACTATTTGTGGAAGAAATATAGTAAAAAGAGACAGTAAAGATTAAGACAGTTGAAATAATGCATAGCTTAAGGGAAGAAGCACATACAAAAATCCATAATAAGAGTTTCCCTCCCCCACTTAATTAAAGAGCAGTGACTCACCTGCAATCTCTGCTTTCTACACCTCGGCACAGGACAAGGCTAATTTGCTTCCTTGCACATCTATAAACCCTGGGAAGGGCTGCTCCCTCTGAGTAAATACAAGGTGTTCCAAAAGTCAGACTTAGCAAGCTTCAATAGCTTAAAACTTCACTAAGACTTCTGGAACACCTCTTATTGGAACTAGAGGTCAGTCCAGGGCAGTCCAACTTCAGTGCATGTCTAGTAAAGCAGAGGTCAGAGCTGAGGAGTGGGGAGTGACAGTATTTTGGCTCTGACAGAGAGAATGAGGATCAATGAGGACCACAGGACTTGGAGGCTGGAGGGGTCTTACGCAAAAGCCCGAGGTGGGTCAGTGCCCCTGGTCTTCCCTTCACAAGCCTCTCTTCTACTCCACTTCCAGTGCTAAGTGTTCTTCTCTCTTTTTCCTTTTTATCAAAAGAATTTAGGATTTAGAGGCAGAAGGAGCCTCAAAGGCCATCTAATCTGACCCCCCTCATTTTATATTTGGGAAAACTAAAGCACAGAGACATTAAGGGACTTGTCCAGGGTCACACAGACAGGAAGTGTTTGAAGTGGGTTTTGAACCCAAGTCTTCCTGGCTCCAAGTCCAACATCCTCTCCAATACTTTGCTGCTTCTCTTATCAAAACTTTCTTGGGAAAGGTTCAGACAAATTCATTTGAATGATAGCATAAATGATTAATGAGACTGAATGTGTTATCATTCCCAAGAGTATTCACAATTTAACAGAAGGTAAAAAGGTGGAGTCCATCTATGACAATCAATCAATAAAGCATTCATTGTGCTCTTAAAAGGCTAGGTGCTACACCTGGGAATTCAATGGAAAAAAGCAAAAACAAAAGAATAAGGTGGAGTCTGGCTATCACCTCCCCGGGCTCAAAGAAAAAAAAAAACAACAACCCAGTGTTCAGGGCTCTGCATTTTCTACACTTAGAGCTGGTATCTGTCTACCAAGGAGCAAAGAGAAAGTGAAATGCTGAGGGGCATAGTGATGCTGCGTCAGAGGTGACTCATTTATGTACTCCTGGGGTTACTGAGACAGCTCAGAAAGAGCAACAGAGTCCGGAGACCTGAGTTCTAGTCCTGCCAGATATTCACTATCTGGGTGTCCTTGAACACGCCACTTAACACGGGATCATAGGAACACGGAAATAGAGCTTCAAGAGAATTCTGAGTCTAACAGATCCCCCAAGTCTTCTTTCACAGAAGCCTGTTCCTGGGGTCTCCTCACCATGGCCCTGTTCTCCAAACATTTTCCTTCCCTCTGACACCAACTTGTTATGGCTTTCCCTAAATGACATTACATTAGGGCAGACTTATTTTACACCTTTAGCTTTCCTTAAAAATTGATCCCTCCATTCCTTAATTATTTTTGTTTCTCTTCTCACTTTAATTTTGCTGTTGAGGGCAGTGATCGTTAAATGAATCGACTGGATGCTGGGGGAAAGAAAATAAAACTTTGATTGTAAGCATTTCTCTGAAACTGAGTAAATACGCTTCTGTATGTGCATCGGCCCTTTCTTCTACCCCAAGTTCTTTATTTTTCCCTTGCATCCTCCATTCCAGAGGTAATAAGACAGTGACTACAGGCCATCCTCCATGTTAGGACATCCTTGACTCAAATTCCACTTCGAACATGCACTGGGCTATGTGGCCCTGGAAAAGTCACCTCACTTTTCAGTGCACCCATGCAACCGTCCAAGAATAGTAACTGCAGAAGAGTTGCAAATCTATATTTGTAGATGAGTAAAACATTGTAGGCCACTGAAATCACAGAACAAAACAACAATAACAACAACAACTCCACACCCATTACTCACTTTCGCATTTTCATCTTTCCTCAGCTTTCTACTGGTCTATCCTTTCCCTTTGTATAACTAACAGAAAACTTTGGCTTGGCAATTTTCTTATAATTATAGGCAATAGGGAAGATTGACAGGGATGGAAACACAAAAGATACCCAGAGTTTCATAGTTGGAAAGACCCTTCAAAGACGATTTACCAGGGCTCACACCTGAAAAAAAACTATTCCTTCTAAAGCCTTCTGGGCCATCAGACTTCACTTAAAGGCAATCAATGACAAGGAAGCCCCCCCTACATCCCCAGGCAGCCCATGGTACTTTGTGACAACTCTAACTGGTAATAAGTCTCTCTTTACATCAAGCCTGAACTTGTCCCTCTGAAAAATGGGTGATGCACTACAGGGACATAAGAGAAGGGATGATCAGGAAGAAACAAGGCTTACTTACCTGTAATTTGGATCCTCCAAAGCCATATGCTTCATTTTTAGAATATAACAGTAGGGATGTTGTTTAAAAAAAAATTGCATCCCCTGGAAGTCAAGAGGTAGGCAGTTTCGACATACTGGATAGAAAGGCGTCAGATCTTTTTTTTCCTGGCTACTTCCCATTCCATCCCTGACATTAGGACTAACTGCCTGAGAAGCCATGGGAAACTTACACATATACTTTAGGACAAATGGCCTGGCCTTGAGAAGCACTCCATTATATTTTCCAATGAAAATGGCAAAATTTTCTCAAAATGTTTACAGGATCATCACAAGAGATTAGCTGCCTCATTATCTATTCACAAATCCCTCTGCTCCCACCTGATTCCAACAAAGCATAGGGCATGGTCAGTGTTACCCCACAGCATGCAATCCCATGTGCTAACAAGCTTATCTTCTGGAAAACGTGGCAGGCCTGTTCCTCCTGAGTGCTGTATGACCCAGAAGGCCCTGCCTCCCTTTTCTTCCCTCCTTCCCACTCACCCTAGAACATTAATAGGCACTCTGAAAACAAAATTGAAGCATGCTTCTCATTCCAGTATTCTTGAATGAACAAAGTATAAAGATCTACTTCAGAACTTTTATGAAAATGTACCTGAAGGCATTTCTATTCTGACATTTTTTTGGGGGGGGGGGTTACTTTGCTAACCATTAGAATCCTAGAAACGAGGGAGAAAGAGACAGACAGACAGACAGACAGACAGACGCTAGTGTAGACTGTTCTACCCTTTTGATTGTCAAAAGGGGCCTTCTAGAATTTGCAAAACATTTCTTATCCTAGCCATGCACTCCTTCAACAGAAAAGGAAGGCATGCTAAGGAAAGCAGCACTCCTCTCTTTTAAGCCCTCATTCAAGATTAAAGGATACTCTTCGGTGTTTCGGATATCAACCACCAGCAGCTTGGGTTTACTGGATTTTGTTTTCTTGGTGGGTGTTTTAAAATGGCCTGTACCAGTCAGCTCACACAGGTCGATCAGATCCTCTGCTGAAATCCGTGGTGACACCTCTGACTTTAGATCATTCAGCTGGATAGATTCTCTGGACTGGAAAACATACAGAAGCAAAACAAAATTAGCCCTGGAAAAAAACAAAACAAAACAGGGAGACAAGCTGAAAAATCAGGTTGCCATCTATACCTTGTTTTGTTTCATGAGAATTGGCATATGAAATGAGTGGTAATGATGGGAGAGGCTAATGCTCTCACTCCAGATTTCAACTACATGACACCAAATGGGTATTTAAACATGTTAAATCTGTCAGAGTCACCACAACATTAAGTGGGTGCCTGCGTCTATGTTTAGTTTGTGGGTGGAAGTCATCAAGAGGGAGAGTACAAGTAAAGGCAATCCATTGCCAATATTTACAAAGCACCTTAAAAGCTGCAAAGTTTTACACACACATTTGATCATTACAACAACTCTGTGAACAAAGTTATCCCTTTTTTTCCAGTGAGGAAACTGAGGATCAGAGAGGTCATGTGACTTGCCCATAGTTAATGTCAGAGTCTTAATTTGAGTCTAGGTCTTTCCCTCATTCCCATTCTAGTACTCTCCTCTACAAAAAAAGGCCAATTTATTAGATGTTAGGGATACCACCCACATTCTAGCTGGGTATTTTTAGTAGAAAGGAGGGTGTTAATACCATCTTTGTTTTGACTTAAGCCAGTAGAGGTTGTTATATAATCGTTCAATCAAGCCTCCTTACCTATTATACCGAATTTCAGTTGTAGCTGTTTGAAAACTAGTATATTGGCTTAATCAAATAATAAGACAAGTCTTAACTTTTCAAAGTATTAGAATTCTAGAGAAACATACTGACATATCCCACTATAGCAATGTTCTGGCGGACACTAGATATGTAATCCAAGTATGAGAGTTTGGGGACATTCTCAAAGGTCATTCCTACATGCTTTTCTCTTTCTTTAACCCCGTTTTTTCCTCCCGCTTCCTCCTCTCAATGTCCTTTTCCCCATTCCCTTACATTCTGTCTCTGCTTATACTAGAGGCCCAATAAGGCACCCTTAGCATCACCAGTGGCTCTCAAAATGACGGAATTTTTAGAATTGGAAAGGATCTCAGCCATCACTCAAACACAGCCTATGAAGGAAAGGAATCAACACTAACTGCTTATCTCCTTCCCTGCCAAAAGCTGCCCCTCCCCTCATTTCTTTACTTCTCTTAATGGGCCCATCACTTCCGCAGTTCTCCTGGCTGACTAGGCCCTTTACCTCTCTTACCATGTGAAATCAGTCTGTTGCTGTGTCTAGTCACCTCTGTAATATTTCTGACATTCTCTTCTATTCCTTCCCACTGCCATAATCCCAGTTCAGGTCCTCATTTTGCTTCCATAGAGACTATAATTAGTCTCCTAATTGCCATCACTCTATCCCTTTTCCAATCCATTCTTCACATTTGTATGTCAGTAAAGCTTCCACATGTCACAATCTTCTACTAAAAACTCTGTACTTGCCCCCCAATGCCTAGCATCTAGTCATGTCTGACTCCTTGTGACTCCATTTGGGGTTTTCCTGGCAAAGATACTGGAGTGCTTTGCTATTTTCTTCTCCAGCTCATTTTACAGATGAGGAAACTGAGGCAAACAGGGTTAAGTGATGTGCCCAAGGTCACACAGCTAATAAGTATCTGAAACCAGATTTAAATTCATGAACGGGAGTCTTTCTGATTCCAAGCCTATTGCTCTATCCACTGAAAGACTTATCTTCTCACATTATATTACATTATATCACATGACATGATATATTATGTCATATTAATTATATCACATCACCATATTAGATCATATATTACTTTACATATTATACATTCAGCTTTCAACACACAAATTCCTTACCCTAGCATCCAAGGCTCCCCTGTCTGGCACCAGTCTATTTTTCTAAGCTTCTTTTGTTTTCTTTTTTTCTTTTTTTTTTTTGGTGGGGGGGGGTTAGGAGGGAAGAGGCAATCAGGGTTAAGTGACTTGCCCAGGGTCACAGAGCTAATAAGTGTCTGAGGCCACATTTGAACTCAGGTCTTCCTGACTCCGGGACTGGTGTTCTATCCACTGTACCACCTCTAGCTGTCCCTTCTAAGCTTATTTCACTTGCCTTCATTTTACATATTCTATGGAAACCGGATCTATATTCCCTATCCTTCTCTTGCCTTCCATTTCTTTCCCCATGGTGTGCCTTGCTCCCCCCTTCCCTGTCATGCCTAGAATGGACTTTCCCTAGCCCTTCTCCATCCCTCTATCTGATAAAATTCCCCCCTTTTAAGGTTTACCTCCAGGTGGTACTCCCACTGTGCAGCCTTCCTGACAGTGATCTTTCCTTTGTACCTTTAGTATTCTCCCTTGTTTCACAGTCATTTGTCCTTGTTTTTCCTCTGAAATTAAATTGTAAGTATCTGTGGGGAGGGGAGAGAGTGTCCTCTTTCCTATTTATCTTTATCAGCAATGCCCAGCATAAAGCTTTGTACAAAATAGTTATTTAATTTGTGTTTATTGAATTTAATTAAGCTATTAACCTCTAGACCAAACAGCCTGGAAGTAAAAATTAATAATTTAATATGGAGTATGATTTGTGCACTATGGAGATTAGGACTCTAGCTTTGGAATTATTCATCCTAAATGGTCTTATACATTAATGAACTTGAAGAAAAGCATCAACACTGTTCTTTTACCCATTCATTCATCCATTCATTCCTCACATATTTATGTAACGTCTGCTCTGTGGAAGGTGCCATGCTAAGTCCAACAGGGGACCCAGCTCCAGCTAAGACACTGTCCTTGAGCTTAGGGAATATTACGGAGTTGGTCTCACCCCATTAACTTTTAAATTGAAATTAGAGTTATGGAGTGATGGAAAAAGCATTTGGAGTCTAAGAACTTGGGTTAAAATCCTGGGATTGCTTCCTTGATATCTGTGTGAGCTAAGGGGAGCCTCAGTTTCCTTATCTGTAAGCTAGAGGAGGAGTTCTTAAGCTTTCATTTGACTCAATTTTTATCCACTATGCCATGGATTCTTAACCTTTTTTGTGTGCGTGTTATGGGCTCCTTTGGCAGTCTGGTGAAGCCTACGGCCTTGGCAGAATAAAGTTTTTAAACATTTCAAGGAAATGCTAAATTTCAATTAGAGGTCAGTGAGGAGAAATATGTAATTTTTTTTTCTAAGTTCACAGACCTCAGGTGAAGAATCCCTGATCTAGATGACCTCTGACGACTCTTCCTATGATATCATACTCTCCATCCTACACAGCCCTTTTCTATAATGCATTCTGTCTACTTTCAAGTTTCAGCACAAGTCATGAGAGAGAGAAGTATGTCTTGGGCTTTCTCATCTTCTCTTTGGGCAGTTAGATGGGGCAGTGGATAGAGCACCAGTTCTGGAGTCAGGAATCTTTGTGATTTCAAATCTGGCCTTAGATACTTACTGGCTGTGTGACCCTGGGTAAGTCACTTTACCCAGTTTGCCTCAGATTCCTCATTTGTAAAATGAGCTGGAGAGATGGCAAATCATTCCAGTATCTTGGTCAAGAAAACCCCAAATGGAGTCATGAAGAGTCAGATACGACTGAACAACAAATCCTCCTTTTATGAGAATAAAGGCTAGGTTTGTCAAGTGAAACATTTTTTTTAATAAACAGGTGAAAAATAAGCAGATAATTTAAAGATAGAAAAGCAAAATAATGTAGTGTTTCGGTTTATGCTGCTACTAGACATCTCTCTAGTTACCAATTAAAATTCTCTGAAAGCAGGGGAAATTACACACAAGGAAATTAAAGTTGAAACTTGATAGAATCTAGAGTATTTAGATAAGTAACATGTCTCTGATGTAAGACTATCTGTCCCTCATTTTATTCACTTTTATAGGCACATGCATACCTTCATACAATTTTCATGTGTTGTACTCCCAAAGTTTTGCTCAATCTAATCTCAGATTTCTTAACTTGTGCCTTTATCTACTCCTTTGAAAGTAGGTGGTGGTGGTAGTGAAGAAAAGGATATACTGTTTTCCTAATGTAATATCAGTAAAGTACTGGAAGGTCCCAATTGCTGTAGCAGGCACCAATCACTCTCTTCCCTAAGGGAAAGCATCCATCAGTGAATCAGTAGTAGCACTGCTATTGAAGTGTAGGACTGGGAATCAGGGTTAAAGGTCTTCCACCTATTTGTAACAGAGAAGGAAAAGGGAAGAGGAGAACAGAGACTGAGATACAACCACTGGGGGTTGGGAAGAAGTGAGGTGTAACCCTAACCTTAACCATAGACCTATAGAAACCTAATCTTAATCCACTGAAATACTGACTTCCTTTGAATCCCCAAGACAGACTGAATTTTTCTACAAATGTCCATTAATACTAAGTGCCAGCCAGAAAAGGCCATTGACACTGAACTCAGTGTCACTTGACATATGGGTTTATAATTTGGCCACAAAATTCTGTTCCCACCCACCATTCACTCTAAAAGTAGTAGAAATATTAAATTGCAATGCTTATTCCTTTATTTTCCTAACATCCTTTAAAAAGTAAATAACCTTTCCCTCCACATTATTTAAAAAGGTAACTACTTATCAGAGATACAGTGGGAATTCAACTCTGAGTTGCTAATCCATAAGAAGTATGGAAGAAAATACTGAAAAGAACACTCTACTGCAGTCTCCATTTATGCTATGGTCTCCATTTATACCTACTTTTGTTTTTCTTCTAATTTGCTTCTACTAGAAGGAAGCATACCTTCAGCTCTAATGCAGGCTTGGAAATCAACTACCAACATGGGCCAGAAAGAAATTAGGCAGGTTGTTCCATGAGAATGTATTCCATGGCCTTAAAAAGAGCCTTCTTAAGTTTATTTTTCTTTAAGTCTGAACATAGCTATGCCATTAACATATACTTCAGGTGATATGGGGAAATTGTACCAGAATTGGATATATATACTAATTAAGGGAAATAGCTCTTGTAATTGCAATAAACTATACAGACCAATTAGAAGCTATGTAATAAAAAAAATATGGCCAGATTGAAAAGAATCAGGGATTTAAAGAGTCAAT